CCTAATTTTTGTGAAAAAATAGTTTTTATAAAATCTAACCAACATATTGGAGGATAATTTTTGACAGAAAATTTTACTAATATATTGGAAGATATTTTTTAAAATAAATTATTTTTATAAATATTATATTTTGAATATCTGATTATAGAACTACTAAAACCATTGCATATGGTAATATATATGTAAATTCTTAAGTGACAAAATCTTTTTTTAATTTTAACAATATATTGGAGAATTTGGATAAAAATTTTCAATACCAAGGTTCTAAATCTCGTTATTACAATCAAAATTTTTTTACCAAAATTAAAAGAATCTGACTACAGAGCCTCTTCAAAGTGAAACATTAGTTTTCATGAATACTTATGAGATAAGAAAATTATCTTAAATTGTTATCAAACTATTAGAGTAATTTTAAGATCAATTTTCAATAATTAAATTATTTGGTAAGTTATTAAAATGTTTTAAGGCCTAGATAACTTGAAATCAAACTGGTATTATCCTTTGGATGAGCGTTATGAAAGTACTATAACATTCTTTATGCATAACTGTACTTCCGAACTTAAATCTAGTTTCGTACACTACAATTTACCATTTAAAGATACCTAAGTAAAACTTGATTTTTTTTTTAAATAAAATATATTCAATTAGATGACTAATCGTATCTAAATAAAAAAAGATTAGTAGCAACTCCTAAATATGTATAACGATAGGTCTATGAATTTATATATTATGACATATATCATAAATAAATATTTAGAATAATTTTTATATAATTATATTAAATATGTAATTTTGTAATATAGTTAAAAATTAAAAATAATCTTTATATATTTATAATAAATTAAATTATATATAAAAAATTATTAAGGTGTCAAATATAGCAAACATATTTCTCATATCTAATACATGTACTCATATGGTATTATTTAATTAAATGTACTTTCTGTGTTTTACACATATCAAAATTTGTGTTAATATAATTAATTATGAGACATTTTTTAAAAACCATACAATTTTTCTTGTGTTTTTTAGTGTTATGCCATCGTATCATGTTTAAATTTGTCACATATAATAAAATCACATTTTTTCATTTATATAAAAATTAACTTTAATTTAAAACATACAAATTATAACATTTATATTTGTTTTTAAATATTATTTTTTATTTTTATCTTTTAATAAAATTATAATAAAATTTAACTCGAACTAGACCAAATAATATGTTTAAATTTGATTTAATTTTATTTTAAAAATTAATAAATTGAACCAGAAATGATCCAAACCTTAATAACTCGGTGTTAAACCCAAGATACTTGAACTAAAATGATTTGATATCAAAATAGTCCAAACCACAAATGATCCATGTAGACACTTTACACAAATGATTCATGTAGATACCTCATTTAGTCAAGGGTCCAAATCAATTAGATGGGTTAACTTAAAGCTCAAAAGGTCCAATTTTATATTTTATCTCCTTTTATTTATTTATTTATTTATTTATTTATTTGTTATTTTTTCCTTTATATTTATAAATGTGTTTTATGTTTATCCTTATATATATATATATATGTATATATATATATATATATATCTTTATTTTTATTCTATTTTATCTTTATTCTTTATTTTACTTTTACTTTTATTTTTATTTTATCTCATTTATTTTATTATTATTGTTGATCTAAAAAAGGAAAAAAACTGAAAGATTTCAATTTTATTAAAAGTTTGGCTGTGGTTATTTCGGTGATAATCCTCATCAGAATTGATCAAAGGATTAGGATGGATGTAATGATGGATTCTTAACATGAAAATTTTCTAATTCTGATTGAGCTAAAATTCTCTTGACTTTTGCCTAAATAGACTCATATTCATGGTGAAAGGAACATAGAAAATAGAAAACAAACACAGAAAAATCGAGCAAAGACCACCCCACTAGCAAAATCAAGCAAACTCTAGCAAATCCCTCATTCCAAGTCTTCATACCCATTCCCTACTGTCACAATTCCCATTAGCCAAACAACAACCCACGACCATCAGCGCAAACCATCGACACTTTTACCAGTCACCAAAAATCATACCATTTTCATCACCCCATACACCATTTACACAGTAGCCACCGAAAGACCAAGCTCGTTGACCCGAACTCCACATCACCAACATTAGACCAATCTAGCCAAACCCGGGGGTAGCTTAGTTCTCGATCACCATTTTCACTCAATTTTTCACTTCACTTAACCACAGTTCCATCACCAGCCGACTTCTTTTGCAATCGATATCACCAGCATAACTCCATCACTAAATTTCAACTCCTTTGCCGTTCCATTACCAGTCAACCAGAAACAAATTTCAATACCCAGTTTTTCATCAATTTTCAACCATCATACTCAGACCCAAACCGAGCTCCATTTCAACCCAACAAATCTAAGAATACATAGAGAGCAAATAGAAATCAAAGGCACAACAAGTGGGCACGAAAAAAAATAGAGAAAACACAGGAGATCACAAAACAGTGAGGGAAATATTTTTTTAGGTTCTTGGTCTTCCCTCTCTAAATCTACTTGGTAAGGTTTAGATAGAAAATGGAGGCAAGAAGTGAAGTCAAGGAGCTTATTTTGGGTAGTGGCAGCGATGAAGGAAGTTTGAAATTGTAGTGGTGGCGAGAGCTTGGTTGCAGTAGCAAGCAGCAGTTCAAGAAGGATTTTTAAAAGCTGTTTTAGAGTGGAGAAAAGGCAACTTGCTGTTTAGCTTAGAGGAAAGAAAGAAGAAAGAAGTTAGAAAAAAAAAAGAAATAGGTGGAGCTAGTGGTCTGTTAACGACGAAAAGAAATAGCTGTCGAAAATTAGATATTTAAGCTCATTTGGAGGCTGAGAAATGTGAATGGAGTAAAGGATACAGGAAAGACCTTTGTAAAATTGATTTAATCTTCAACTACTAAGATGGGACGAAGCCTAGTTCCATTTATTTGACTCACAAATCTTCTGGATGAATCTTGGTTTGGGTTTTAACACAAATTTTGGTAATCACCTTTCTTCATTTTTTATTTATTCACTTGCTTATATATTTCTTTATTTTTTTGAATGTTAGAATTTTTAGATTGGGAATATATTTTATAAATTATTTTAAAATAGATAAAAATTGAAAATAAAAGTATATATATTTTTTAAACATAAAATCTTATAAACATATTTGAATATTTTATTTGTTTGAAAAAATAAATTTTGAAAAATAAATTTATGAAATTCGTATCAATATATTAGAGGATTTTTGTTGAAAAATAAGTTTTTTCTCTAAAAAAAATAAAAGACTTATCAAAATACTGAGGATTTGTGGATTTTTTTTTTAAATATAAAAGATAAAGTTTTATCAATGTATTCGAAAATCTTATGACTTTTAGCAAAAATTAAGTAAATATATATATATAATTTTCATAATCCTACTAATATTATATTGGAAGATAATTTTGACAAAAAATATTATCAATATATTAAAATATATTTTAAAAATAATTTTTTAAAAAATTGAAATTTGAATTTTCGATAATGAATTTACTAAAAGTGTTGCAAATGATAATTTTTATGTAAATTCTTAAGTTAGAAATTTTCTTTTAAATTTTATCAACATATTAAAGAATTTAGATAAAAATTTTCAATATCAAAATTTCAAATCTTATTTGGGCGCTAAGAAAAAGTTTTTCTTAATAAAAATTAAATAAATTTGATGATAGATTCTCTTTAAAGTGTGATAAATAATTTTTTTAAATATTTTTAAAATATAAGAATATTTTTAAATTATTATCAATATATTAAAATGATTTAAGGATAATTTTTAATAATTAATTAATTAGTAAGGTTTTAAAACTTTTGGATAATATAAAATCTAATTTATTCCATTTTTTAAATAATTGTTGTGAGAGTATTATAATTTTTTTATATGTAATCGTACTTTCAAATTTAATTTTTGTTTTATAGACTAAAATTTACTTTTTAATGATACTTGAATTAAGTTTAAGATTTTTTAAAAAATGAAATAAATTTAATTAAATGATCAATCATACCTAAATAAAAAAATTAATGATAATTCTTAAAAATTTATATTTAATAATAAATTTATGAATCTATATATTATATAAATCCAAACTTAAAATAACCCGCAAATGAAATAATCCAATCCGAATTCAATTTTTTTAAAACCTGATTTATACTGAACTGAATTGATCCCACTCGGCCAATGACAGGTCATGGTGATAAGATCATACCCCTTGCAATCTCAAATTAAAAGTCCTGATTGCCAACCCAAGTTGCTCATATGGCACTGATTTCCCTTGCTACTGGCCAACCATTGATCAATTTCTTTGGCAACCAGCGGACGAAGGAATTTCCTTTTTCAAAAAAAATTAATATAATAAAAAATAAATAATAGTTTTTATTATTTATTAAAATTGTAATTTTTCTTACTTATTTCTTAATTTGAATTTTACTAACTAAAATCTAAATAATAATATCATTCTTTTATTTTATTATTTACAAACTAAATTATGTAATAATTATTCATTCACTATTTTAGGTTTATTTTATTTTCATATAATAGCTATTTTATTGCCATATATTAGGAATCAAACAAGCTCATGATAAGACTTCTAGTATAATAATAACTTGAAAGATCAAACTCAAAATGTGAATGAACAGAATTAAAATTAAGTTGATAATTTAAAATATGATATGATATTTAATACAAAAATTATATAAAAAATATGAAAAAAATATAATTTAAATTTTTAAAAAAATCATATATTGATAATAAAAATAAAAAATATATATTTTATATTAATATGAATTATAATATATAATTTTTGTATAAAATATAATAAAAATATATAAATTATTAATATTTTACATATAAATATATAAATTATTAAATCTAAAATTCAGTAAAAAAAAACTATTTTTTCTCAAATCCAACTTAACCTATTGGCGCCGTCGCCAACATCTAAATTTTAATAGTATTTATATTCTTTATATAATAGCGAGGAAAAAAAGGAAAAACAAAAAGAGAAAAGAATATCGGAACTCGGATAAAAATAGAGAAAGCCGACAAGCCAAACAAGGTCACCACTTAAAACCCCTCGATCTTTTGGTCAATTGGCTTTTAGTTTCCGTTATCCGTCTCCTTATTTCTTTCACAAAGTATATATTACTATAAATTGAAGTAAATCCCCAAATCCGCTCCCCAACAAACCCTACAACGAAAACCCTAATTCAGATACTATTTCTTTAATTCTGATTTGCTGCTCTCAAATTCTATTATGTATTTGTATTTTGTCCACGTACTACTATTCATGTAGCTTTATTTATACATTTATTTCCATATACATATATTGAGAGAGATTTAGGATTTAGGTTAGTGAGGGAAAATTTTAAACAGAAATTGAGAGAAGCTAATGGAAGGGATACCACAACCGATACCGAGAACGGTAGAAGAGGTCTTCAACGACTTCAAGGGCAGACGCTCTGGCTTGATTAAGGCTCTCACCACTGGTTCGTTCGTATTTCTTTCATCATTTTTTTTTTCAAAATTACAGACAAATTCAATTAATGGGTTTGGGTTTTTATGGCAGATGTTGACAAGTTTTACCAACAGTGTGATCCTGGTAGGTTATTTTTGCTCTTTTCTAGATTTCATTCTAATAGTTAGTGGTGCTGCGTTGACTCTGTGTCTGTGTTTGCTTCTTTCATTACCGACTACTTATCTATCTCTGTGGGATATGAATTTTACGTTTTTTAGTCAAAATTCATTTTCTATCTTGATTTTTTGAATGTGTTCTCAGCAGATTCTTCAGTGAAGCTAATGATAATAACACTGTCAAATGTATTGTAGTGAAAGCAGTTAACTTTGTTTTCTTGCATGATGGCTGCCTGATCTGATAAATTCTCTAACGTTTGGTGCTTGAATTTACAATGTTTAGTTTGATCTTTGGTAATACTCGTTTGTTTACTTGTTCAGTGAGACTTTGCTTTCCTTTTTGGCCTTATCATAAATAGGTTATGGTTGTTTCTGTCCACGTGTTTTATGTAGACTCCTAATTCATTTTACTTCAATCATGGCAAGCCATTTATTCTTTTGGCACCTTTCCCGTTTTAAGTCCTCTCAGATCATTTATCATATTGGCCCCTTGATTTTTTCTGATGTTATCAAATCTTGCTTATTTGCTACAGTATACTTGCTTCGTCTGCAAGGTGGAGAGAATTCGCAAAGTTATATGAATGCATTACTTTTCTTGCAAGTGGACTGTCTTTTTTTTAAATATAGAGTGGACTGTTTTTCTAGTTAACCTTTCTGTGAAGTGTACATTCTCAGCTTCTTGAAAATTTGAAGCCTGGATATGAAAGCTGGAGAATAGCATGTTCCACCTGGTTGCCTAACCTGGTTTTTAGTTAACCATGTTACTGCCTGAACTGGCTGAATTGTTGCAATTATTTTTTGTTTCTTTGTAAGTGGGCCTTTGTTTTCTTATGATTTTCAATTTTGGTTCTATTTTTTGTGAACATTGATATTTATATTCTGGTTAAATTATGACTACTTCTGCTGTTGTATTACATGTCACACTACCATTTTGTTAATGTGTATTTCTTGCCTAAAACTTATAGTTGTAGGGCCATTAACAATTATAAGGAAATCAATGTTGTTAAGGCATGTGCCTAGGCACTAAGGTGTAGCGCTAGACAACACCTTTTAGGTGAGGCATATTTGATCAGGTGCATGCCTGCTGTGCCTAGGCGCCTTTTTTGTAAGGCAGTAGGCTCAAAAAAAGCTTGCTTGATTGAAGTTCTCTTGTATTTCCTTTTTTATTTAATTTTTTTCATTAACTTTATCTTTAATAGTAAAAAAAGGGACAATCTAACTCTCTACTTCTCAATGTTTGATTATTCAACAACAAACTTGGGACCATAAGGAAATCATGCATACTGGAGAAAAAAGAACAAGGAAATTTTGCATGTTTTGTAGGCTAAAAATTAGCCACTCTTTAGAGTTTATTAACAGAATTATACATCTTAAGCATATTTTATTTATATATATATATATATATATACAAACATATACATATAGCCCTTACTTCACTCAGGCAAGCGCTTTTTTTTTTTTTTGTGCCTTATGCCTATAAGGGATCTAGCGCCTCAAGTCCACCTTGTGCCCTTGACAATGCCAAAGGAACCCCTTATTGGTCTAACTTGAGTGTGGCATCATACAGTTGGAACTAAAAAGGTGACTGAAAAGAACATATAGAAATATAGTTATCTTTTTGTTATGGTCTCTTCCATGATGGCTTGAGGTTTGCCTGAGTTTCTGTATTAGTCATGTAATGTAGTTTGTGTAATATATATAACTTAACTTGATCTTAGAGTGAAAAAGGAATGTTTTGTTTTCTTTGGATTCAATATGCTACATTTTCATGCTTTCCTTGACAACAATAATACACGTTATATGTTGGATGTAATTCTTCATTCTTAAGTTTTATTTCTGAGGAGCAGTTTGGGTTCTGATTTTACTTGACTAATCACAACTGAAATGTGGTGCTCATGGCTATTTGATTAATAGTATTTATTTTCCTACCTGCTTACTAGAAAAATTTGAGTCTATCATTGAATATTTCTATCCTGATGCATTCTTAATGACTTAAAAGTAATTAGTGTGCTTGTAAAAAAAGTCATTAGCATGCTGTATGGTTGTTGTGGTTTGTGCTGTATGTTTGATGTGATTCATTCCAGCAAACTTATATCTTTGAAAATTCTGGATTTACGTTTCTTTCCTGAATGTATTAAATTTATTTGCAGAGAAGGAGAACTTATGCCTATATGGACTTCCAAATGAGACATGGGAAGTTAACTTACCTGTTGAGGAGGTGCCTCCTGAGCTTCCAGAGCCTGCACTGGGCATAAACTTTGCTAGGGATGGGATGCAGGAGAAGGACTGGCTATCATTGGTTGCAGTTCACAGTGATTCATGGTTGCTTGCTGTTGCTTTCTATTTTGGTGCGCGATTTGGGTTTGGCAAGAATGAGAGGTATGTTTGCTTTTTCTTTGTCAACTATAAAACATTGAGTCTCAGTTTACATAGCTCAGGTTCTGCAGTATCGTGGTTCAATTTTAAATTTAGTGTTAACCACATTATTCTCTGAATGTCTACTAATATAGAAATCCAATACCCTAGTTCTCTTCAAATGAGTATTTCAAATATTTTCTACCAATCTACCTGGTCAATTGTTCAAAGCACAAAGTGTATGAAGGATGAAGCTATAGTAGATGTATAAAGTTGTGTAAAGTCTGTTTAATCTTCATCAGTATCTTTAATTTTGCATACTTAATTGTTTTAAATTTGGTAATAGATGAATTGGGAGATATTCGGGTACTTTCATTACTTTATGGTAGCATGCCATAATTCAAACACCTGAGGAAGTGACTGTCTTGTTTATTTTGTATAAATATTATCTTGCTAAGTTTGAGAGCAATTTTGTCCTTGAGAAGGACTACTGGAGGCCGAAATGCTAAATGAGATGTTCCTTCCATTGTACTTGACTATTATTATACATTACTAACTAAAGTCTTGCATGCTATTGAAATGAAATATTGACTAGAGTGTACTTCTAAATGCTTACACACTCAGACCCAGTGATTTAACTATTGCTTTTCCTGTTAAAAAGAAGTGTCGCATGCATATGTGTGCTCAAACATAGCTAAGCTACCAACCTGATGGTTACATGTTTTACACTGACAGGAACAAGATTTCTATTTGTTACTATAGGTTTTTTTTTTCTTTTTTATTTAAAGGTGTGATGTCCTGCAGCCATAACTCAATGAATGCTCATAGGCACGTGAATACACATTGTTTAATGATTAATAGGACAGAACTTGTTTGACACATGTTGGATTTGTCACAAAGATTTGAAGTTTCTATTTTTGGGAAAGAAGAAAAATGATTCCTTAGTTCGATTCTTTCAGTGGTGATGGTGTAGTGGTAACAGTGATGAAGCATATCTGATCAAAGAATAAGACAGCGGGTAAGCATAAGGAAGAGGCAGCTGTGTGAGAAAAGGGAAAGGCCCCGGTTGCTGGGAATATGTAGAACAATACCACTTCACCTGCCATCTCTTAATTTGAACTCTATAATTGTTGCTTCTCTTCTTTAATTGAACCAAAGGATCATGTTCTCTCAACTTTCTTTCATTGGATCCCTAATCTAAGGCGTTGGTAACATGCATGTATATATACCTACCTGCCTCCATAAACACGTGCATGCTCCCCTCTCATATGGGACTAAAGTTGTGAGTCTTGTCTATGCGTGTGTGTGTGTGTGTTTTTTTCTTTTGGGGGGGGGGGGGTGGTTTCCTATCTTTTACTTGAATGATACTGTCACAATATCCTAACCAAATGGCCCTAGCATTAACTTATTCAGTGAATTAGTCAATTTGATATTGCTAATATTTTTCTAAATGGGTTTTTTTTCTTTCTTCAGGAAAAGGCTTTTTCAGATGATAAATGATCTTCCAACCATATTTGAAGTTGTGACAGGAAATGTCAAGCAACCAAAGGACCAATCTGCTAATCACAACAGCAGTGGCAAAAGCAAATCAAGTGCTAAGGTGGTATGAAGTTACAAAATTAAACTTGAGTCTTCTGTGTTTTATTCCATTTATATGCGCTTCCCTTATTTAGTGTCACATTCATATACTTGCTGTTTGCAGTCTCGTCAATCTGAACCCCAGAGTAAGATGGTAAAGACATCTCCACCACCCAAGGACGAGGATGTGAGTGGGGAAGAAGATGGGGAAGATGATGAACAGGGTGCCACTTGTGGGGCATGTGGGGATAGCTATGGCACTGATGAATTCTGGATTTGCTGTGATATTTGCGAGAGATGGTTCCATGGCAAATGCGTGAAGATTACACCTGCAAAGGCCGAGCATATCAAGCAATATAAGTGCCCAAGTTGCAGTAACAAGAGGGCTAGAGTTTGAAAGTAGGTTCAGAAGTTTGACTTAAACGAAGCAGACAAGGTTTATAGCTTTTTCCTTACAGTTTGGAAGTAAAACAAAGTTGCCCCTGTTAGTTGATGAATTTGGATGACTGCAGATGGGATTTTAAGTTTTGCTACTCTTGGTTCCTGCTCTGTTTAAATTTTTATTGAGAATTGTGTTTTAAACTGATACTGGCAACTTGAAATATTAACTAATTAATATATATATATGTTGGTGCAGTTTTCTAGTTTCATCTTTATACTTGATTTCTTGTTTTTTTTAATATACTTAGGATTGTTATATTTAAATTTTGATTACTGAAGCTAAGAATTTAACATTTTATCAACACATCACTTGATCACTTAGTTGTATGCTCAATTTCTCCTACTCTTTTTATTTTCGCATTTATTGATGATATCTTGTGTTTTATTATTAAAGATGAATGTAGTGGCAAAATCATTTGTTGAATGGTACTCAGTGTTTTTGGTCATAGGGATACTACTCAGTTTCCTGTAAAAAGCTTTCCGGGAGAATTTGTTTTCTATTTCCCTTTTTTTTTTCTTTCGGGCATTATTTTGTTCATTAACATTATATTTTTTTCAATTATTCACAAATAATGTCACCAGAGCAATAAAATGGAGTCTGTTTACAAAGAAAATGGAGGGGACAAATAGACAGAACAAAAAAAGGGGGACCCCGTAGTCTCCGCAGTTGGAGGGAGTTTCTAATTTGCTCTTAAAAGATGTTGAGTTTGACTAAAAATTGAATGAAAAAAAAAAAGAGACCTAGCAGTGCTTACAAATTGTAAAAGAGAAAAAAAAAAAAAGTTAAAATATTAAAAATCTATACATTATTTTATTTTTTAAAATAAATTTTTATATTTTTTTTATGTTTAAATAAAGTTTTATTTAAATTTTATCGATTGATTTATATTAAATTAAAAATTTATTTAAATAAAATTAAAATGTAGCGATTAATTTTGATATAATAAAAGCAAACGAAATTACTTAAATAAAATGATAAATTTTAAATTTTAGTTTATTATTTCAGGCAAAAGCAAGTTGACATTGAGAGACAGAGCCCACGAAATTAAGACACCGTCTGAAGAAAAACGTGTCAGATCTGCCTTGCCTACTTTTCTTCCCTTTCCTTTGCCTTACTACTAAAAAGTAACAAGTACCGGTTTTTGTAGATGCAATGAATGAAATTGGAAATGGAAATGATAGCCTTTAAAAATTTTGTTGTTGTGGGGTGATTCTTCTTTGGTTGATTTGATCCAAAACAAAAATGTCCGATGTGAGAATATCTGATCCAAGCAGGCTGCACTTGAAGAAGGAGCTCACTCAAATCCGGAAAGCTGCCCGCGTTTTGCGGGATCCTGGGACCACTTCTTCTTGGAAATCACCCCTCAGTTCCTCTAGATCTGTAGCAGAAGCAGCAGCAGCAGCAGCAGCGGCAGCAGGTTCGGCTTCTACTTGTACTGCTTCAAAGAATCATTTTGATAGTGAAAGTTTACATAGGCCAAATGGGAATGCTTATTTGGATTCATCTCAGCTATCTTTTAGAGTTGAAAGCAATGGTCGTGGTTATATTAATAATGCTAATAATAGTGGTAATGGCAATGACAATGGCAATGAGAAAGAGAAGAGGAACTTCCTTTATAATTGGAAGAGTATGAAATCATCATCAATAAATGTGGATGATGATGAGGATGATGATGATGATGATGGTTATGATGATGGTGAGGATGATGGGGATCAGTCCTCTTCTTGGGTTCAAGGCAGTGTTGATGGTAATAGTTTGAGTGATGCAAGGAACTGTGGGGATTCAAAGAGTGATACCTATTGGGGTGAGAGTCGTTCTGCTTCAATGATGTTCAGGTGTAGAGATACAAATCTCGTCTCATCGGTCACACCATCCGCCAAAAGAACGTTGGGGCCCAACAAAAAGAGTAAGAAAAATAGTGCCCATTTCGATGCTTTTTCTAGATATGAACAAAAAAAGAGTGGTGTTAATAGAAATTCTGTGAATTCAAGAAAATTGCTCAAAGCTCATCCTGCATTGGCCTTAGGTTTAGGAAGGGATGATTCTGTTGAACAATCTGATGATACTGAAGATTATAGTAATTCAGAGGATTTTCGCAAGATTAAAGGGGCATCCCCACTGCTTCTCAAACTCAAGCACAAGAATTGGTCACATTCATCCTCTAGATTGTTGAAAACTGGTAGAAAGGAAGACTCTTCTTATTCTTATAGCACCCCAGCTTTGTCAACTAGTTCTTATAATAAGTATTTTAACCATAACCCAAGCACTGTTGGTTCATGGGATGCAACCACAACTTCATTGAATGATGGGGATGACGAGGTGGATGACCCTTTGGATTTGCCAGGTCGGCAAGGATGTGGGATTCCTTGCTATTGGACTAGGAGGACCCCAAAACATAGAGGGGTTTGTGGAAGTTGTTACTCTCCTTCCCTCTCTGATACTTTAAGGAGGAAAGGAAGTAGCATTCTCTGCGGAAGTCAGTCAGTGTACCATAGATATAGACAATCATCATCGCTTTCCAATAAGCGGAGAATTGCTTTAAGAAGTGCTCAAGGTCTTCTCCCATTGCTTAGCAATAGTGGTGATGGAAGAGGACGGTCATCCATTGGAACCAGGTTTAGTGATGATGAGCTCTCTACAAACTTTGGAGAGCTTGATTTGGAGGCCCTGAGTAGATTGGATGGAAGGAGGTGGTCGTCAAGCTGTAGGAGTCAAGATGGGTTGGAGATTGTAGCTCTTACTGGAGAAGGAGAGGAGGAGGGTACACCAGAAAATATTAAGAGCTTAAGCCATAAATACAAACCAATGTTCTTTGATGAATTGATTGGGCAGAATATTGTGGTACAATCCCTTATGAATGCTATTTCAAGGGGAAGGATTGCCCCTTTCTATCTTTTCCAAGGTCCCCGCGGGACTGGAAAAACATCAACAGCCAGAATTTTTGCTGCCGCTTTGAATTGTCTGAGTACTGAAGATGCTAAACCTTGTGGGTACTGTACAGAATGCAATGAGTTCCTTTCTCAGAAAAGCAGGGAGATTTGGGTTGTTGATAGCACCAATAAAAAAGGAATTGATACAGTTAGGTACCTTTTGCGAAGCCTGTCAACAGGACTCCCATCAAGCTCATCACGATACAAAGTTTTTGTTATTGATGATTGTCATCTGTTGCCCTCTAAGATATGGCTGGCATTGCTAAAATTCCTCGAAGATCCTCCACCACGTGTTGTATTCATATTCATAACAACTGATCTTGACAATGTGCCACGTACTGTGCAATCACGATGTCAGAAGTATCTCTTCAACAAAATAAAAGATGGTGATATCATGGCCAGGTTGAGGAAGATCTCTACTGTTGAGAATCTTGAGGTCGAATCAGATGCACTGGATTTAATCGCATTGAATGCAGATGGCTCGCTTAGAGATGCAGAAACAATGCTAGACCAGCTAAGTTTGTTGGGCAAGAGAATCACTACTTCTCTTGTAAATGAACTTGTGAGTATATTTGAAAATGCTTCCTTAGCATGTCTACTTCATTTTCAGGTTTTAATTGGTCACTTCATGAATATTATAAAATTATGGTTAATAGAATAAAATATTGGAATATAGTAAGTTCAGCATGTCCCAGCAATAAGGAGGAGGACTACTTTATTTTTCAAAATTTGCAATATAGTAATGTTACTACATATGAACAGTTTGAATTTATTTGTATCACTTGCTTTCATTCTGCAGGTAGGGGTTGTTTCAGATGAGAAATTACTGGAACTTTTGGAATTAGCAATGTCATCTGACACAGCGGAAACAGTGAAAAGAGCAAGAGAGTTGATGGACTCTGGGGTTGATCCAATGGTTTTGATGTCCCAACTGGCCAGCCTTATTATGGATATCATTACTGGAACATACAATATTGTTGATTCTAAGAACAACCACTCATTTTTTGGTGGACGAGCTTGTGAGTATCATCCTATTACTTTGTTCTTGTTTGTCCATAGCAGAGAAAGCTTTGATATAAAAATAGCATATCCATATTCTAATTCTAATATAATTAGTTTCATGCACTTAAGTCAGCATATGATGAACAGGAAAATCTTTGTGGAGATTACAATAATAAAAAAGGAAAAAAAAAAAAAAAGGAAACAAGAAAAAGTCATGTCACAAGTTGAAAATAAGTCTAGTTGTGGTTTTGAGTAAAAATTGGCAGAAACATAACATGTTGAAGTGAAGTTGGTCAGCTCAACACTTACAACAAAAAAAAAATCATTTAAATAAAAAAAGAAGTGAAGTTGTTCAGAACAAAATAAACCTAAATAATTGAACCAGATAGGATTTTACTTCTTTATGGTATCCAAAGGCCTTTTAATAATCTCACCATCAATAAATATTTAGAAGTATGGTTTTGCCTTATAATAATCTTAGTTTGTTGGAGTTGTGAATTTAAGAACTTTGCTAAAACCTAATTATCTTTTTATCACTTTAAACTGTAAGTTCCAAATATGAATCTGCCCATGACAAGCATCATTTTTTCCCCAAGTCAAGGATGGTTGATACTGCCTTTACATTAAGACAAAGCATCTCAATGAATTTTCAATCCAACTAAAAAGATTAAACTTTCAGATATGACATATGTTTATAAGAAGCTAAGACTCCTCTAGTTTAACTTAAAGTAATTTTAATGTTATTTGCTGAAACTAATCTGTAATAAAGAAAAAGGCTTCTTTCTGACAGTTTGTTGTTTTGGGTTTGAAGCAAACCCTCATATAAGATTTGATGTTTGGGTATAGTACTCCTTGGTTCACATTAAAATTTTTTATAGAAGCTCTAAGTTGATTTTTTCAACTTGGAAAGATAATTGACATTCGCAAAATTTATTTGTTTGAATAGAATATAGAAATTAACGTATGCATTTATGAATTCTGAAAAAGATATGCTTGACATATTCAGACTCGTCACTTTTTAAACCACTTCATAACAATTAAAATCTGTCCTTCGAAACATGAGTGACCCATGCTTGCATGCAGCTATAAGAATGTACATACCACTTCATTCATTGGTATGTATTTCTCAATTTGGTTGGGGTAGATTTTTTTGCTCAAGTTATTTGATAGGCTACTAAATGGCAAAAGAGGTGAATCTCTATCTAGTTCCATACCTAGCCTAGTTAGTTTAGGGAATATATCATTGCATGATATGCTCCATCATTTCCTGGTTTTGTATGTAAGCAGCATCCATTCTTTTGTAGTACAAGTGTTGGGAGGGGAAGAAATTGAAAGGAAAGGACC